ATCGACACATACAATGGGGATTGACAGTTCAAGGAATGATTTTGGCACAGGGTTTGTGGAAAACGACCCGACATAGAGACACTCATCCTTGATAAGACTCATAGTCGGAAGATACCGTCATTCCGTTATTATGTTGATAGGATGCATATTAAAAGCCACAGTCTGCTACATAGAAACCATGCAGACATGCGTATAGTAATGTACTTTAGTTGATAGGCATGCAACCCCACATTAAGTTTGGAAGTTAAAATGCCAGGCTGGTCCCCAACCGTAATGTTAACAAAAGCTACAGAGATGGCTGGCCCAGACTGTGGCATTAATTTGCATAAGAGTCACATACATGTTGACGTGCAAGTTCCATAAACAATATTATTGTCACTTGGATAGTTGAACGGAATACGGTACACCACATGCAAAGACATGGCTCTAAGCTATCATATATGGCGGTATGCTGAGACCGCATCTTCTGGACGCAGTGTGGGGATATTTCACACTCTTGTGGCACGAATACATCTGTTCCTTTATCATCTTTCATTGTTATCAACATAGGTGATATTTTCGATTACTGCAACAAAAATGCTTCCAAAGTGGAATGACGGAAACCATTGACGTACGAATTGATCTGGAACTGAGTGCAGTGCATTTACAAGTGTTATACCATCCTTCTATTTCAAAGGCGATTTCGTTCTAAAACATGCGAAAACGCTGTAAATATGGGGGCCCGAGGGCGTCCCACCCTCCATCTATAAAAGGGGGTTTGGGATATCTATATATATATATATATATGTGTGTTCAATGAGTTATGTACTGATTTACTTATTTACTCATATTTGTAATTGTACATATATATATATATATATATGTACGTGTACAGACCTAAAGATCTACATATATATATATATATACATATATATATATATACATATACATATATATATATATATATATGCACGGCGACGCTGCACCATATATATATATATATGTATGTATGTATTCGTCACGGTCGCTATCGGACATCTGAGCTTTGCCCAGGTGATAAGCAAGTCCCACAGCTATCCCCAGAGAATCCAACACCCCTTAAGTCAACAAATATGCAGTGATCCTTGGCATTAGTTTAGGGTTTAGGGTTTTGGGTTTTGGGGTTCGGGTTTAGGAGTTTAGGGTT